AAAAAAAAAAAAACCGCAGAAAAAAGAAACCTAAGTTCATGGCAAACTTTCCTTACCTCTTTTTTCTTCCCGCTCAATGCATTCCCCTATTCTTACTACTACTTCCTCTACTTCTGTGACTGTTCAACCCTCCTTCTTGACAACTCGCCCACCGGTTCGCTTCTGTGGCGGCCGTGCTGTGGGGCGCACACGCCCACCCATGTTATGGGCATTCACGTCTTCTTTTTCCCTCACTGTTCTTCGCGGCCTTCGCTCTTCTGGTGGTGCGGGTGGGCAGGTTTAATAAAACAGGAACGGGACGTTGGAGGAACAGCTGTGGGTTCTTTGGCTGGGGCCTCATAGCGGAAAAGACCGGTTCAACGGGATCCGAAGCAACAATCAGTTAGAGAACAAGCAGGCATAGCAAGGTACATCAACAGGGAAAACAAAGGGAATAAAAGAATCAATATAGGAAGAAGAGGAAGAAGCTGTGGGGGGGGAAAAGTGGCATTGCAACTGTAGCACCAAGGGGCGTAAGTAGCTCTCTGTGCCCGTGGGCTGTATGCCGTCTCTCTCGCCTAGACCGAGAGTTGGGGACGAAGGCGCTGGCAGCAGTGACGCCGCTCTTGTGAACGAGCAGCAGCAGCAGCAGCAGCAGCAGCAGCAGCGTGCGTTGCAGAGCATGGCGTTGCCAGACGCCGCGCAAGACCGCACGNAGCAGCAGCAGCAGCAGCAGCAGCAGCAGCGTGCGTTGCAGAGCATGGCGTTGCCAGACGCCGCGCAAGACCGCACGGGCTACATGGAGTTCCGTGACTACCTGCATTCCACGGAGGCCCCGGAGCTCCTTAATGCCCTCACCATATCACTTCTGCGCGAGAAGCCGGATGACGTCATTTCGTACGTACTCTCGTGGCTGCGTTCCAGACAGGGGCGGGGTGCGGCGCGTGGTGAGACGCTGGTCGACACCGCCGCTTGCGGCAGAGAGGGAGGCGATGACGTCGATGGCTCGGACGGGAGCAGCGACGAGGCGGCGTGCTCCATCTCGACCACCACGGGGACGTTGTAGTTGCGTGCACAACCTGTACAAACCGCAATTTCTTTATTTCTCTTCTCTCTCTCTCTCTCCCCCTCCCGCGCTGTTTTGCCGCCATTGTTTGTTTCTTTGTTTGTCATCGGTTTGATTTGCTTCACTTGTTGTGTTGTGCTTACTGCCACTCCGTCCGCTGCGTGGACGGGTGCGGAAGGGCGCGGGGTAATGCGAGGAGCGCCCCATTGAGCCCCACTCTCCCGTCCGTCCGATTGCTTCCTCCTGCCGTAGTGCCGTGGCTGTATCGAGGGCGCACGCTTACTCAATACGCACCGGCACACATGCACATGTAACACACAATGAGTACGGCGTGGGACGCGTTTCTGTGTGGATGTGAATATGTTTCCTTTGCTGAATTGCCGTGGGATATCAGTGAGCCTGTGGTGGAAAATTGCGCTCTATTTGCCACCTCCTTTCCGTCACACACACACACAAGCGGATACCGTCAACATGTGTAACAATCCAGTCCTCTTTCCCTCTTTCTCTGCACACACACACACCCATATATATATATATATATATATATAT